GCATAGTGTGATTTTCGATTGATGTCAGAATGTCAGGAAAATTTACCAGTGCATGACTGATGGATGATTTCATCAGCTGTGTAGTTGTAGCTGTGTAGTTGTTTGGCTGTCACTTGGTTGTTTCTGTTGATAAATTGCAAGAACAGCTGCATCTGTGGTATTTTTCTGTCCAGAGTTTTCTCCATGAAATCCACTGTCTAGTGCAAGGAAAATTTCTCCATTCTATCCTATTATTGTTAATGTCACACATAACAGTCTCTGCTATTATGGTTACAGTCTGTCTGTGGAATATAACACATCGTATCCATGAAAGCAGCTCTAGTCTACCTATCCATTAAGAAGTTCACTGTGGCTTCTTGAGCGGATGATCCTACAACTAGCTGCTGCTGTGGTACATGCACAGACAACAGTTTTGCTTTTTGTAAGTTCATGTTTGATCCACCGTCATTGAGCATTATGGCAATAGAGATTGGTCCTATGCTAGTCATTGCTTGGTTCATGCTTGGATTTTTGAAGATGACTGCCACAAACAAGTCACCCAGAGACCAAATAGCCCTCTGATGGAAAATGCTCTTTAGTTACATTCAGGGATCCTGTGAATATCCACCTCCTTGTCTTATCAATGGACCTCTGATGGACAGATGCATGCTGCTCTCCACTTCAGAGCTGTCACCATCTGTCTGGGATGCCACAGCACAATCTGCAATAACACACAATAAACAAGCCCCTTTCTCTTTTCTTCAATACAGACTCTGGGCTAGTTTGTACATCCTTATAACCTACACTGAATATTACATTGTACATTGTTTTAATAGTATTCTGTACACCATTCTAAGAGTGTTTCCTAATTGAAAGTACAGAAATGCCTAAATACATAAATAAATTGAAAATAAACTACAGTGGGTTGATTTTTTCCTCAATAACCCCTGTTACTCCTGACAAATGATCAGGTACTTTTCAGCTTTCCTGTTTTTTTCCCCCCTTAGTCATCCCCACACTTGCTCCTAGCAAACAAACCATGGGCATCTGTGACACAACATCAGCACAAATGTACTTATTAGTGAAGCAGAGTGTATTTTGTGGAATGCTGTGTTAGGAAGGGGAATGGCCTACAAGGAGCACCAAGGAGGCAGTCTTTCAAATGCTAAGGTATACAGTATATCACAGAAGTGAGTGCACCCCTCACATTTTGTAAATATTTTATTATATCTTTTCATGTGACAACCCTGAAGAAATGACACTTTGCTACAATGTAAAGTAGTGAGTATACAGCTTGTATAACAGTGTAAATTTGCTGTCCCCTCAAAATAACTCAACACACAGCCATTAAAGTCTAAACCGCTGGCAACAAAAGTGAGTACACCCCTAAGTGAAACTGTTCAAATTGGGCCCAAAGTGTCAATATTTTGTGTGGCCACCATTATTTTCCAGCACTGCCTTAACCCTCTTGGGCATGGAGTTCACCAAAGCTTCACAGGTTGCCACTGGAGTCCTCTTCCACTCCTCCATGACGACATCATGGAGCTGGTGGATGTTAGAGACGTTGTGTTCTTCCACCTTCCATTTTAGGATGTCCCACAGATGCTCGATAGGGTTTAGGTCTGGATACATGCTTTGCGAGTCCATCACCTTTACCCTCTGCTTCTTTAGCAAGGCAGTGGTTGTCTTGGAGGTGTGTATGGGGTCGTTATCCTGTTGGAATACTCCCCTGCGGCCCAGTCTCCGAAGGGAGGGGATCATGCTCTGCTTCAGTATGTCACAGTACATGTTGGCATTCATGGTTCCCTCAATGAACTGTAGCTCCCCAGTGCCGGCAGCACTCATGCAGCCCCAGACCATGACACTCCCACCACCATGCTTGACTGTAGGCAAGACACACTTGTCTTTGTACTCCTCACCTGGTTGTCGCTACACATGCTTGACACCATCTGAACCAAATAAGTGTATCTTGGTCTCATCAGACCACAGGACATGGTTCCACTAATCCATGTCCTTAGTCTGCTTGTCTTCAGCAAACTGTTTGCAGGCTTTCTTGTGCACCATCTTTAGAAGAGGCTTCCTTCTGGGACGACAGCCCTGCAGACCAATTTGGTGCAGTGTGCTGCGTATGGTCTGAGCACTGACAGGCTGACCCACCACCCCTTCAACCTCTGCAGCAATGCTGGCAGCATTCATATGTCTATTTCCGAAAGCCAACCTCTGGATATGACGCTGAGCACGTGCACTCAACTTCTTTGGTCGACCGTGGCGAGGACTGTTCTGAGTGGAACCTGTACAGTTAAACTGCTGTATGGTCTTAGCCACTGTGCTGCAGCTCAGTTTCAGAGTCTTGGCAATCTTCTTATAGCCTAGGCCATCTTTATAGAAACATAGAAAACAGAGCGAGTCAGAAGGGGTCTCCTGGGCCATCTAGTCTGACCTCCGGCACCAGCCGGCTTCACTCACGACATGCCCACCATCTGCACATCCAGCCTATCCTTGAACACCCGCACCTATGGGGCCTCTTGTGGAAGCCCATTCCACACCCTCAGGGTCCTGACTGTCAGGAAGTGCTTCCTGGCATCCAAATAGAACCTTAGCTCCCTGAGCTTTGCTCCGTTGGAGCGCGTTCTGCCTTCCTTTGCAAGGGAAAACAGGTCTCTACCCATCTCCATGTGACGTCCCCTCACATACCTGTATGTCGCCAACAGATCCCCTCTGAGTCTCCTCTTCTCCAGGCTGAAGAGACCCAGTTCCCTCAGTCTTAGCTCATACGGCATCCCCTGCAAACCGGCCACCAACCTTGTGGCCCTATGCTGCACTGACTCCAACCTGGCTATATCCTTTCTGTAATGAGGGGCCCAAGACTGAACAAAATACTCCAGTTGCGGGCGCACCAGAGTCGTGTAGGGTGGCAGTAATACCTCTCTTGATCTAGAAGCCACACTTCTGGCTATGCAACCAAGGGTGGCGTTCACCCTCTTGACCACCGCATCACACTGCTGACTCATGTTTAGCCTGCAGTCAACTAGTACCCCGAGGTCCCTTTCACAAGTGTGGCTCTTCAACCACTTGTCACCTAACCTATACTTATGACAGCTATTCCTATGCCCCAAGTGCAAGACCTTGCACTTGTCCACATCGAACGCCATCCTGTTATCTCCTGCCCACTTCCATAGTCTGTCCAGGTCCTTTTGGATCTGGAGTACCTGCTCCTCAGTTGTGACCACTGCTCCAGTTTTAGTGTCGTCTGCAAATTTGATCAGCAGAGTGTTCACCCCTTCTTCCATGTCGTTAATGAAAAGATTCAACAGGATTGGCCCCAGGACAGAGCCCTGGGGGACCCCGCTTGTCACTGGCCGCCATCCCAATGATTCCCTGTTAATGGTTACCTTCTGCTTTCGGTCAGTCAACCATGCCCTAATCCACCGGACAGTGCTTTGATGTATCCCAAAACTGCTCAGTTTCTCCACCAGGATATCATGGGGCACTTTGTCAAAGGCCTTGCTGAAATCCAGGTATACCACATCCACTGCATCCCCTCCATCTAGCCATCGCAAAACCTTGTCATAGAATTCCACACGGTTTGTCTGGCAGGACCTGTTTTTGCGGAAGCCATGTTGTGTGGCTGCCAGCCTCCCTTCCCTGTCTAGCATCACTAGATCTCTCTCTGTTATGAGCCTTTCCATTGTTTTTCCTACAATGGATGTAAGGCTAATGGGTCTATAATTCCCCATGTCCTTTCTACTACCCTTTTTGAAAATTGGGACCACTGATGCCACCCTCCAGTCCTCTGGAACTTCACCCGTTCTCCACGAGGTCTCAAAAAAGGAGGCCAGCGGGCGTGAGAGAACCCCTGCCAACTCTCTAAGTACTCTTGGGTGTAACCCGTCAGGGCTTGGCGCCTTTGTAATGTCCAATGCCCTGAGGAGCCCCTCGACTTCAAGGGGGGGTAACTCTAATCTGTGCCCCTAAGTCCCCAGCCTCATCTAATCTCCTATGCGGATATCCCCCATCCTGCTTTGGGGAGAACACAGAGGCAAAATAGTCATTTAGCATCTGTGCCTGTTCCCTCATATCAGTCACTGGATGTAGAGATGTTGCATCTGTGCCTGTTCCCTCATATCAGCCACTGGATGTGGATGTTGCTCTAATTTTATGTAGAGCAACAATTCTTTTTTTCAGATCCTCAGAGAGTTCTTTGCCATGAGGTGCCATGTTGAACTTCCAGTGACCAGTATGTGAGAGTGAGAGCGATAACACCGAATTTAACACACCTGCTCCCCATTCACACCTTAGACCTTGTAACACTAATGAGTCACATGACACTGGGGAGGGAAAATGGCTAATAACGCCTAATTTGGACAGTTTCACTTAGGGGTGTACTCACTTTTGTTGCCAGTGGTTTAGACATTAATGGCTGTTTGTTATTTTGAGGGAACAGCAAATTTACATTGTTATACAAGCTGTACAATAGGCTTTTTTGTATGTAAATGTGCATAAGATTCTGCCCTTGGTGTCTTCTAATATTTGTGTGTATGTGTGTTTCAAGCACACAATACATATAATAAATTATTAATAAGTAAATAGTTAAGTAGTAACAAATTAACATTATACCAACTAATTAAAGATTAATTCTATGTCCTTATAAAACTATATTCAACTGTATATAAACAAAGCACTGTATATATTTGAGAATCACTTATACGCAATTGCAAACAACAATTAATTTTATTCAGAATAGTATTATTTAAAACATACAGTAGAACTTGCCATGAGCACTCTAAGTGTAAGTAAGTCCCTCCCTTCATATTGGAAAATAAATTAATTTAAAGCTGAAGTCATTTTTGCAGCCATAAATAATAACATAAATTCTTGATACAGTGAAACTAATCTATAATTGCTAGTCCTATTCAAAAGAATCTGTGGTAGATCATAGGAATGACAGTTGACCTGTGAATAAAAATCTGGTGATTTAATCCTAATTAAGACATTTTTGTGTTCTTTTTATTTCTTTACAGTTAGCTGCACTGGAAAGACAAATCTTTGATTTTCTTGGATTCCAATGGGCGCCTATCCTTGGTAATTTCCTGCACATAATAGTTGTCATTTTGGGGCTGTTTGGAACCATCCAATACAGGCCTAGATATATAGTTGTGGTAAGTTTTATTTTAATTTATTTCCTCCACTTCAAAAAGTAATATTCCATCTTACTTTCAAGATTGAAAACCTTCAAATCATTGTGTGCTATCTTATTCAACTCTGTTGTTAATGTAATGTGCTAGCATAAGCAACCCCTAATGCAATGCCAATAGCATTTGCTGGTGCACTGGATTTTCACACCAGCAGATGCATAGGAATTTTACTGGAAGTTGCTTACACAACTAGCCTAATGTAATACTTTAATAGTATTGTTAAATAGGGTGCTGTCCATTGCTTCTCCTGTACAATTTATGTTGATCGGTCTTCCATTCTTATTGCTTTATTTATAGAATATTGGGATTTAAATATGCACACCAGAAAATATGAAGCAGATGCAAGGTGGAAGAGCAGAGTGGCTCCACCTTAGGAACCTGCAGGCATGTGCTTTGGCTCTACCCCTTCCTTTCTGTTAATGGAAAAGCTCTTCAAAGGTGGTGCAAGCAAGTTTTGCTGAATATCCTTGCTTTTCTCCACATGAATGGAAACCATGGTTTATCAGTGCTTCCAAATGCAAGAGGCTCTGTGGCAACATGCTGTCAAACATGGTTACATCCTTCCCTGAGTTTCCAAGTCCACATGGAAGGTTGGAGGGGAACAGGTGGGATTAGAGCACACATTCTTGCCATGATTACAGTTAACCCAGGGATGGGGAACCTGTGGCCTGCGGGCCTCATAATGCTTGGGGGATGGGGAATTTCCATTCAGTTCAGCAGCAGCAGCTTCTGCTTGGTCTCCTTCTGCTAAACAGAAAAAGCTCTTATCTTCAATTAGCAGTTATTCAGAGAGTAGTGCTTTCCCTTGCTTAGCAATGAAAACAGCTCTCAATGATTTCCAGGAAAAGCATTTATTTCCACTCCAAGGCAGAAATTAGAGCTTTCCATTTGCAGACAGAAAGGAAAGGGTGTAAAAATGAAGCTCCTGGGTGCTTTGTTCTGAGTCTTGTTCTGCCCAAACATATTCTGCTTACTTTGGAACTGTCATGCGGATATTCAGAGGCTTGCCCTATTATCCAAAAAGGCTGAGAAATGGTTCAGTCCTGATTATGTCTCAGCAGAAATGCAGAGTCTTGTCCTGCTTGTTTGTGAGCAGATATATTTCTTTATATAAATTGGTAATAAAGGAATATGGATGTGGGGGGATTGAACCCTGTCCACTTTTGACCTGAAGACCACTGAAATACAACCCAAGAGCTTCTCTAAGACAGAATCCATGGCTCATGCCAAAAGGTAATGAAATTAAAACATTCTGCCAGCTGAGTTAACCAGTCTAAGTGAAAGCCTGAAGAGGGTGTACATTGAGCTGGGCACTACAATATAGTAATCCTGAAGTATTTCACTTTCCACAGCTTGTCATATCTGGTTTTGTTATTATCTTTTATCATGCTTATGGTATGACTTGCCCTATGCTGAAATTGCTCATCTAATTCACACATTCCCCCATTTATTTATTTATTTATTTATTTATTTAAAAGGAGGTATACAAATCATCTTGAATGAATGCAAACTAGGGACTAAGATGAAAAGCTATGAAAGATAACAATTTAAAAATAAATAACTGAAGAGTGCCCTGGGCTTTTGCAACAACTGTGAAGTTTAAAAATTGCAGACACAATCCATATAAAATTTAAAATCACACAATTTCTGCCTGGGAGACATCTTAACCCAGTAGAAATCACGAGTTCTAAAACCATTTGAAAAACTAGCTTCCATCACATATTGCCGACCCTTAGCTGGCTGGAAAGGTTGAACACTTATTGCTTTTCCCTTGAAAATGCCAGCATTTGGGATCTCTATGTAATTTTATCTGTAATGGCTTTTGAGGTATAAAGATCACCTTTTTTTTTTAAGGAGCTGTGTGGTAGAATTGCATCCAGTGTGTTTTTAGAGATTATTTCAGTATTAACAATCTGAATTCTGTCATTCTTTATCATTTTTAAAAGTGTGTTGCCTACTTAGAAAGATACTAAGAATAGAACCTTTAAAAACTAGCCCTTTTCTGAGGAATGTAAAACAGGAACATACATTTCATGCAATGTGTATGCTTTAAAAATGCTAATTTTGAACGTGAAAGCTTGGAACTTTGTGGAACTTCACCTTTTCCACTGTTAATGTTTGTTTCATCCTTGAGGACACCTAACTAAGTCCTTGATATTTTCTGTACATTTTAAGAGATTCACAGTTCTTTTTTTGATTCTTCTTCATGTCATCCATTAGCTCACTGCCAATCCCACTGCCAAGTGGGAAGAAAGAGGTAAAATAAGAATAGAGAGTTCAAAATTAAAGTCTACTTATTGTAAGTCAAGAAATCAGAGACATTTTGTACTATATTTTCATTACTTGCTGAATAATCTTGTTAATTAGCTGACATATATGTCCAGGTATGAACTCTGCAAATTAATGCACTTTACTATTAAGCTGCTTTTCATTATATTAATATATATTAAAACTATTACAGGACAATCCTATGGCCACTAGAGAGTGTCTAAGTGACCATAGGCGTGTTCAGAGATCTAATTATTATGTGACCTTATAGCTGTATGCTCTACACTTGGCACACTGTCCCCCATGCCTGTTGTGTCTCTGTGGTCCCAAGACCTTGGAAATAGGGCTTGGGGGCAGAAGGGTGGACATATCAGGTCTTGACAAAATGAAATGTAACTTGATAATGTATCACCAACCTTCCTTCTTGCTCCAATACACACCACTTAGATGGCAAAAATCATGTGCCTGTTTCATGGGAAGGCAAGACCAGACAGATGACCTTCAGCTACACTCTTTCCACTTTGCATAGGATGCTCACAATCCTTTGAGTTAGAAACATAGAAACATAGAAACAGAGCAAGTCAGAAGGGACCTCCCGGGCCATCTAGTCTGACCTCCGGCACCAGCTGGCTCTGCTCACGACATGCCCACCATGTGGACGACCAGCCTATCCTTGAACACCCGCACTGATGGGGCCTCAACGACCTCTCGTGGAAGCCCATTCCACACCCTCAGGGTCCTGACTGTCAGGAAGTGCTTCCTGGCATCCAAATGGAACCTTGGCTCCCTGAGCTTTGCTCCATTGGAGCGTGTCCTGCCTTCCTCTGCAGGGGAGAACAGGTCTCTACCCATCTCCATGTGACATCCCCTCACATACCTGTATGTCGCCAACAGATCCCCTCTGAGTCTCCTCTTCTCCAGGCTGAAGAGACCCAGTTCCCTCAGTCTCGCCTCATATGGCATCCCCTGCAAACTGGCCACCAACATTGTGGCCCTATGCTGCACTGACTCCAACCTGGCTATATCTTTTCTGTAATGAGGGACCCAAAACTGAACACGATACTCCAGTTGCGGGCACACTAGAGTCGTGTAGAGTGGTAGTAATACCTCTCTTGATCTAGAAGCCACACTTCTGGCTATGCAACCAAGGGTGGCATTCGCCCTCTTGACCACTGCATCACACTGCTGACTCATGTTTAGCCTGCAGTCAACCAGTACCCCGAGGTCCCTTTCACAAGTGCTGCTCTCCAGCCACTTGTCACCTGACCTGTACTTATGTCACCTATTCCTTTGCCCCAAGTGCGAGACCGTGCACTTATCCACATTAAACGCTATCCTGTTGTCTCCTGCCCACTTCCATAGTCTGTCCAGATCCTTTTGGATCTGGAGTACCTGCTCCTCAGTTGTGGCCACTGCTCCAGTTTTAGTGTCGTCTGCGAATTTGATCAGCAGACTGTTCACCCCTTCTTCTGTGTCGTTAATGAAAAGATTAAGCAGGATTGGACCCAGGACAGAATCCTGGGGGACCCTGCTTGTCACTGGCCGCCATCCCGATGATTCCCCGCTAATGGATACCTTCTGCTTTCAGTCACTCAACCATGCCCTAATCCACTGGACAGTGCTTTGATGTATCCCAAAACTGCTCAGTTTCTCCACCAGGATATCATGGGACACTTTGTCAAAGGCCTTGCTGAAATCCAGGTATACCACATCCACTGCATCCCCTCCATCTAGCCATCGCAAAACCGTGTCATAGAATTCCACAAGGTTTGTCTGGCAGGACCTGTTTTTGCGGAAGCCGTGTTGTTTGGCTGTCAGCCTCCCTTCCCTGTCTAGCATCACTAGATCTCTCTCTGTTATGAGCCTTTCCATTGTTTTTCCTACAATGGATGTAAGGCTAATGGGTCTATAATTCCCCATATCCTTTCTACTACCCTTTTTGAAAATTGGGACCACTGGTGCCACCCTCCAGTCCTCTGGAACTTCACCCGTTCTCCACAAGGTCTCAAAAATGGAGGACAGCGGGCGTGAGAGAACCCCTGCCAACTCTCTAAGTACTCTTGGGTGTAACCCGTCAGGGCTTGGCGCCTTTGTAATGTCCAATGCCCTGAGGAGCCCCTCGACTTCAAGGGGGGTAACTCTAATCTGTGCCCCTAAGTCCCCAGCCTCATCTAATCTCCTATGCGGATATCCCCCATCCTGCTTTGGGGAGAACACAGAGGCAAAATAGTCATTTAGCATCTGTGCCTGTTCCCTCATATCAGTCACTGGATCTCCTTCCTCCTTATTTAGTGGTCCCACCACTTGTCTCCCCTTCCTCTTCCTAATTACATGCTGAAAGAAGCCCTTTTTGTTGCTCTTGATATTTTTGGCAAGTCTCAGCTCGTAATCAGCCTTACCCTTGTGAAGAATCCTACTGCAACAGGCCTCCTCCTCCCGGTATACCCTTTTGTCTATTTCCCCTAGTACCCATTTCTCTCTTTCGTCTAATCCCTCTATCCCCCTCCTTTCGCATCCATGGTGGCACTCTCCTGCGCCTCCCCACCTTACTGACCAGAGGTATCGTCAAGGCTTGTGCCTCCAAAACCTCCCTTTTGAGTGCTATCCACCCCTCCTCAACTCGCTTACCTTCCAGTAACCTATCCCAGGAGACATTTCCCAGTCTGGCCTTCAGTTGGCTAAAGCTGGCCCTCTTGAAGTCCCAGCTTCTAGTGCTCAACCTGCTGCACATCCCCAGTCCCCTGATCAAAAGCAAAGGATGGAGTGATCACTTGCATCCGGAGCTCCCCTTATCTGTACTTCATCTATCAGCTCCTCCCTATTGGTCAAGCCCAAGTCTAGGATGTTTCCCCCCCTTGTCGCCTCTTGGACCCTCTCTGTGAGAAACGCTCCCTCTATAGCTTCTAGGAAGCGAGGTGACCTGGCTGTCACCACCAAGTGAGTCTCCCAAGTAATATCCGGGAGATTGAAATCTCCCATAATTACTGTGTCTCTCCCCCGAATCTGGCCTGTCAGGACATCATCCAGGGTCTCAAGTTGACCTGGAGGGTGATAACATACCCCCACTGTCAGGTCTCTTTCCCTGTCAAAACCCCTAAGTTTCAGCCAGATTGCCTCTACCGAATCCACATCTGTGCTGCATTCTGTCTCACTGCATCTTATCCCTTCCCTGACGTATAAAGCCACGCCCCCACCTCTCTTTCCCTTTCTGTCCTTCCTAAAAAGGTGATACCCTTCTATGTTCACATTCCAGACTTGCCTTTCATCCCACCAAGTTTCTGTGATTCCCACCAGATCATACCCTCCTATTCCCAGGAGCGCTTCAAGCTCTTCCTGCTTATTACCCATGCTCCTAGCATTGGTGTACATGCAACTCAACTCCTTCCCACCGCTTCCTTTCCTTGGAGTTCCCAGCCTCCTCCTTCCTTCCATCCTCCCTGATACCTGGCCTCTCTCTGTAGGAGTCCTGTCAGTCCCTGCAGTACCTCTAAAACCCTGCTCCCAGTGCACTGATCCTCCCTCCACACTTGTCCTGTGCAGACACGTTCCTGGGGGGCCTTAATCCCCCCCCTCCAGCTCTGTTTAAAGTCTTCCGGATGCAGCTCACTAGAGCATCTCCAAAGGACCTTTTCCCCATCCTCGTGAGGTGTAACCCGTCCCTTGCCAGAAGTCCATTGGCAAGAAAATGAGTGCCGTGGTCGAGGAATCCAAAGTGTTCCTTCTGGAACCACACCCTAAGCCAGTCATTCACCTCAGAGGCCCTCCAGTCCCTTCCTGGCCCCAATCCCCGGACAGGTAAGAT